TCGTGCATGCTGCGGACGCACTGTCAGACCTCAGGGTGGTCGCTCACCGAACAGGACCCCTACAACAACATCGTCCGCACGACGGTGGAGGCGCTGGCGGCCGTTTTTGGCGGCACCCAGTCCCTGCACACGAACTCCTTTGACGAGGCGCTGGCGTTGCCCTCTCGCTTCAGCGCTCGCATCGCCCGCAACACGCAGATCATCATCCAGGAGGAGACGGGCATTCCCAAGGTGATCGACCCCTGGGGCGGCTCCTACATGATGGAGTCGCTGACTGATGAGCTGTATAACGAGGCGATGGCCATCATCGAGGAGGTGGAGGAGATGGGCGGCATGGCGAAGGCAGTGGCGGAGGGGTTGCCGAAGATGCGCATTGAGGAGTGCGCCGCGCAGAAGCAGGCGCACATTGACTCGGGAGAGGAGGTCATTGTCGGTGTGAACAAGTACCGACTGGAGAAGGAGGAGCCGATTGACGTGCTGGTGGTAGACAATATGAAGGTGCGGGAGAGTCAGATTGCAAAGATTGAGGCCATCAGGGCCAGTCGGGACAAGGCCGCCTGTGAGCAGGCGCTGGCGGAGCTGACGGAGGCGGCTCGCAGCGGTGGAAATGTCCTCGAGAAGGCGGTGCAGTGCGCCAAGCTGCGCGCCACTTTGGGCGAGATTTCCAATGCCATGGAGGCGGTCTTTGGGCGGTTTGTTGCCGCGGATCGACTGGTCAGCGGCGCCTACTACAACTCCTACTCGCACACCGACGAGCTGAAGGCCATTCAAGAGAAGATCAAGGGATTCGAGGCGGTGGAGGGTCGGCGGCCGCGTATACTGGTGGCGAAGATGGGCCAGGATGGGCACGACCGAGGGGCGAAGGTGATTGCCACCGGGTTCGCCGATGTGGGCTTTGACGTCGATCTGGGGCCGCTCTTTCAGACGCCGGAGGAGGTGGCACAGCAGGCGGTCGATGCTGATGTGCACTGCATCGGCGTCAGCTCACAGGCGGCCGGCCACAAGACGCTGGTGCCCATGCTGACTGACTCGCTGAAGAAGTTGGGCAGAGAGTAAGTTGGATCGGTTGTTGGGTGTTTTAGAAGTTAAATTAACACCTTTCTTTCTTTTTCCACAGAGACATTAAAATCATCGTCGGCGGCGTCATTCCCCCGCAGGACTACGATTTTCTCTACGAGCACGGCGCGGCGGCCATCTTTGGCCCCGGAACGCGCATCCCAGTGGCCGCCATTGAGGTCATTGACGTCATTAAGAAGGGAAAGTCCAGAGCAGAGGCGACGGCCAACTAAAGCACTGTTACCTTCTTACCACGCCTCTTTGCATTCCAGGGAATTTTGTGTGCTTTTAAATTTCAACTCAGTCTTTGTGATAGTGCCCACCACCATTGTACCCAATACTCCAATTCAATCATGGGCTTGTGTGTGTGGTGTTTGCTTGTTTGTTTTATTATGAAATCAAGAAAGCACTTATTACAGCAATAAAAAAGAATCAAAATAAATAGGGCGAAGTAAAATAGATCAGTATGGGAGAAAGAGACTTGCTATACAAACAGAAAGTAGAAAGAGGGAGAGCTCCACAAAATGACACAGTGGACAAACAATGGAGAGAGTGGTAGGGAGAGAGACGAATTGAAAATATAAATAGTCCTAGAATTTGAGATGAAAAATATATCAGGTGCACTTCTTCTTTCACTGTTCACTTTTGTTGAATGTTTTGATTGCGAAATACGATAGGTCCGCCACCGGCACGAATTGGTTTTGCTGAAGGAGGGGAGGGAAAAGAGAGTGAAAATTAGAATAAGAGAAAAGAATGCAAAGTTCACAAATGTAAACATACCGATTTGAGCAACATGACCGCGACGAGCAAGGTTCTTCTGTCTGACTGCCTCCTTGATTCGGTCCACCTCATGTTGGTACCGCTTTCGGTCCTTCATCGCCGACTCCTTCGCCTCCTTCAGCGCCGACTCTAACGTCTTCACGCGCTCCATGGTGGTGCGAAGGCGCTTTTCCAGCTTCGGAAGCTCACACCGCAGCTCGGCGTTGTCACGAACCAGCTGAGATTTAGGAAAAGAAAAGGATCGATTAGATAAAAATAACTAAAAAAGTCAACAAGCACTGGTACTGACCTGCTTATGAACCTTGGTCAGCTGTTCGAGATTGTTCTCCAAGAAGGAGATTTTCTGCTTTTGCACTAGTGAGCCACCGGAGTTGGCGGCATCGTCGGGCTCCTCGCCGACGACAATCTTNGTACTGACCTGCTTATGAACCTTGGTCAGCTGTTCGAGATTGTTCTCCAAAAAGGAGATTTTCTGCTTTTGCACTAGTGAGCCACCGGAGTTGGCGGCATCGTCGGGCTCCTCGCCGACGACAATCTTCTTGAATCGGTTCTTAAAGTCCTCCACAAAGAGCTTGCGCAGGTTGAAGAGCGACTGCAGCTCCTTGGCGACCGTCTCCTCCAGGCCCTTCAGGTCCTGCTTCGCCTGGTCGCACTTTTCATTGAGCAGCGTCAGCTCCTGCAACTTGACGCTCTTCTCGTTCTCCTCCGTCTTCAGGCGGTCGTAGTCCTGCTGGAGGCGCTCCAGCGCCAGCGTCAGTTTCTGATTGCCGTCCTTGAACTGGTCAATCATCGCCTGCTTGTCCGCAATCTCGTCCCTCAGCGTGGCCAGCTGCTTCTGGTGGTTTTCCCGGTGCTTCTCAATCTGGTGCTCCAGGGCGTTCTTCATCTGCTCCACCGAGTCCTTCTCCTTCTCCTTCTCGATGCTGGTCACCTGGTGCATCTCCTCGGCGGCCTTCAGCTTGGCGCACTCCTCATTCAGCGTGTCCACCGTCTCCTCCATCAGCCGGCGCTTGTTCTCCGCGTCCCTGATCGACTCCTGCAGCGAGGTCATCTTCGCCTCGTACTGGCTGATCAGCAGCTTGCACTCGGTCAGCTCCCGTTCCGCCGTTTCCATCTTCTTGTGGCTGGCCGTCTGGTAGGCCTCCAGCTGGACGGTGCGCGTCGTCAGCGCCTTCACCTCGCTCTTCATCTTGCTCACGTAAAGCCGGGCGACGGTGAACTCGTCGTCCAGCTTGCTCGCGTCCCCAGACAGCTTCAGCTCGCCGATGAAGCTGGTGTTCTGGTTGGCGCCCAGGACGATGCCCACCTCCGCCAGGTCCTTCATCAGATTGGTGACCATCTCCATGTAGCGGCGCTTCTGGTGGGTCGTCTGTTCCTTCAGCTGCTGCAGCTCGCTGTCGCGACTGTTGAGGGCGGTGCTCTTCGCGGTGAGGTCCTCGCCCAGCGTCTCCACCTCGCGGCTCTTCGCCTCGTACTCCTGCGACTTCTGGTCGTAGTTGACGGCGAGCTCCTCCAGCGCCTGCAGCACCTCCTTCACCTCCTCCTTCAGCGACTCGTTGTCCTGCTGGATACGGGTCAGATCTGCCTGCAGCAGGTCATTATCACGGCGGCCGGTGTTGAACAGCTCCTCCTGGTCGACAATCTGCTCCTTCAGCTTCTCAATCTGCTGGCTGAACTTGTCAATCTCGTCGTCCTTCTCATCGAGCTGCGCGTACAGCCGCGTCCGCTCCTCCTCGAACTTCATGCGCTCCTCATTGGTCAGCGGATCCGAGGAGACGACGCCGGTGTTGTACATGTTGCTCAGGTGGTGCGCCTGGCCCTGGCCGGCGAGGGCTGCAGAGGGCGCCAGGCCGACACCGCCAGCACCGGCACCAGCGGCGCCACCCAGTCCGCCCACTCCTCCTCCTGCGGCGGCCAGGTTGTGCACCGACTCTGAGAGGCTGAGCGTGCTGGTGTCGAGATCGCGCGTCAGTCCTGACTGCTCGTCGGCGGGCACCGACTCGCCGCCCCTCCACCGCATCAGCTCCTGCTCTGCCCGCTGCAGCTGCGCCCTTAGCTTGCTCACCTTCTCCCGCTCGCGCTCGTACCGCCGCTTCCACTCCTCCGCCGTCAGCTCCTCATTGACGATGACCACGTTCTTGATGGTCTTTGCGCGGCGGCCAAACTCCAGCGTCGACTTCGTCTCCATCTCGTTGAAGGACGCCGGCGAGCAGCAGATGATGATGGTGGTGCGCGAGTTGCCGCCCAGAGATTCCTGAAGGATGCGCGTCAGCTTACTATCACGATATGGGATGTGAGATTTCTGCAGGGGGAGGAAATTGTCATGTTAGGTTAATGAAGAAATGTAGACAACGAAAGGGTCACACGTACATTGCCATCAGCAAGAGCAGATATCACATTTCCAAGAGCAGATAGTGATTTGTTGATATTCTTTGCCTCATCAAGCACCATGCCTTCGGCACCGGTTTTGCTAACCTAAAGGGTTTAGAAACATTTCATTAGATTATTAAGCCTAAAAAACGCAGCCGTTTTAGGTACCTTTTCCGAACCAGCCAAATCGACAAGGTACAGCTTGCCGGTAAGCTTCTTCTGGTTCTCCTGGTTCTCCTGCTTCACATTGATCAGGAACACTGAATGACTTCGAGAGGAGTGCTCGTTCATGTCTAGAGAGTGGTGTGATGAAAGGCACCGGAATTAAAATGGCTAAAGAAGTGCTAACAAAAACGTACTCGTAACGGCAATGTGGCGATTCGATTTGCCCTCGTCAATGACCTCCATAACCTCTTCGGGACAGGTGACGAACCGCTCGGTGGCGCCCTTGACATAGGTGCAACGGTTTTTGTCCTCATGTACCGACAGGTTCACTTTTGAGACGTCCAGTAAATCTCTAATTTTGTCAAGGTAAATTTCAAAATAAGAAACCTGTCAAAAAGGGGTAAAACAGTTACATTAGTCTCCCCGCTCGCTCAATCAAAAAGTCGTTAAAAGTCGTAATTACTTTAATGTGAAACTCAATCGCCTCGTCCATTGAGTAGATGTAGTTGAAGATGTCGTTGACGATGCGCGGAATAATTCCCATGTAGAGGGAATCGGCCAGCACGCCCTCCATCGTATGCGTCTTTCCGGAGGAGGTCTGACCGTAGGCGAAGATGGTGCCGTTGTAGCCGCCGAGCACATCCTTCACGATGGCCTTCGCAGAGTCGTTGTACACCTTCTCCTGATTGGCTTTCGGGCTAAACACCTTGTCAAACATGTACGTTTTGCCCTATGTAAGAGGATAAGAGGGAAAAGGGAAAGAAACATTAATTAGTCCAAATTAAGGCAAGTGTGGTAGTCATTCATTAAGTGCCAATTAATGTAGGCAATTTAGAAAGTGCAGCTAAAGATAGGGAGAGAAAGATTGTTGTGCTAATAATAATAAAGTCATCAGAGACCTCATTTCCGGAACTGCTCTCAATAATAATATCAACAACAGCAGTTTGCTTATCAAATACACCCGTAAGAATGCCGGAGAATGAGAATAATCAATCGATCGGGCTGATGGAACTGCCGCCGCCACTGCTAATCATAAGCAGCGCTGATAATTAGGACATGGACAAGAAAGCGGCACACAACTGAGAAGTAAGGAAATCCTATATGCGCGCGTCCTAATGAAGGGATCGAAACGTGTTTCATTTCCTCCAGTGCACTCTCATCCGTGGCTCATCTGTGAGTTTTCCACTTGATTATCAATTGTGTGTGTGTTTTGTGTCCAGTGTGCGGTCGGTCAGAGCACAAAGAAGCAGTAGCTGTATATAACTCAATCATCATCAGCAGTGCGCCTCTGCCTGCTGCCTATCTGTCTGTGTGTATTCGAAATGGGCAAATGTTCAGTCGAGTTGATGTGCGATCGGCAAACACAGTATGTGCATAAGTGCGCCAAGATGACAGCCCCATTCAGTATGCACCCCGATGGTGATTGATATCATCACCACTGCTCAGTAATTCGAGAAAAAAGCAATAGCCTCCTCGAATAAGAAAGGCACACAGTGTGAGCAATGCTCAGTGCACACTGCCATTGCTCCTCGGGATGGATGGTCATCACGAGTCAACAGCGAGCACAGTCTTTGTCACAGAGACAGGACACGAACACCAAATATAGAAATCTTATCAGCGCTCGTACATAGTCAGACATTTGCTAAATAGCTGGGCTCGTTGTCAACGAAAATACAGACAAACTAAACTGCCAGCGCGACGCAGAGAGCGAAAAAGAGAAAGAAAAAGAGACAATAAACCCGGCTCGATTTGCTCGCCTGCTTGACTTTCCTCTCATAGTTTTATCGACACTTCTACAGTGTCGAATATAGAAAGTTTTCCTATCCACACACACAAACAGTGAAAGATTATCCTAACAATATCGCCACCGATAGTTTATCTAGTGACGCTTACACGTCTCTCTCTCTCCGACTACCTAGTGGGAGTGCAAAGTAGAGCAAACAGACAGACATAGCAAAGAATGGAAAACAACGGTAATTAGTGCAAGAAAGTGCAAATGCAGATTAAGACGGCAGATTAGCATGGGATGATGATGATGATAAGGAATCGCCACTGCTGTTGCCGCAACAGCACGCACTAGTAAAGACAGCGCTGAACTTAGAGTACTGCCATTCACAGTACTTCTTATTTGCGTTGTGTTTTGCCCCATTCATCCCCTTCCCCTCTCCGTCATCTTGTAGTTTATGTAAGTCGTCGTTTGCTCACTCGCTCATTCAGTCAGTCTGTCTGGGTGACGTGTGGCAGAGACGCGCCGGGGCCGAGTGTGCGAGCGAGTTATAAAGATGACAAAGAGGAGCGATTTAGAGCAGCTAACACCCGTGTCTGCTGCTGCCTATAGATAGACATGATAAAAAGCGCCTCGGTGTTCGGCGCCCAGGTTCACACAGGAGGTTACGTAATAGCGGTAGTAAAATAGGCACCTAACTATGCAAAGAAAAAAGGAGATTACACCGCAGCAGCAACTTACCCCAATGGAGACGGAGTCTTCGGTGGAGGGGAACTTGACAATAAACTTACTTCCCGCCTTCTCCTCGGAATCGTTCAGTGGCCTGAAGCGGCACACCACCTTAATGTTACACTCGCCTGATCCGTCGGCCATTTTGAGTAGTGCTGATTACTGATTACTGATTCAGTGATTATAAATAAGTGATGACTTAAGGACTAAGGACACTGGTGGGAGTTGACTCAACACATCAGGTATATTGCAAATAGTGGAAGTTCCGCCGCGAGTATATAATTTTCAAGGTGTGCCCCAAACGTCAGAATCGCTTTAAGAATCGACGTTTTAAACTGAAATTGCCAATATTGTTGTTGTTGTTGTTTGGAGCAGAGGACGCCGGAGTAATCGGATTACTCCACTTTTCTTTGCATATGGACACACAACAAATGTAAATGACTCGATTGTTATTGTGGTGTCGGCGGCGGCGGCGGCGGCGTCTGAGAAATGATGTCGGCGGATTGATGGTGCAAAGTGCACGTGTTGACCAAATAAAGTCAAATGACTCCTCGGTGGCGATTAACACGTTTTACATTTCACAGAGAGAGAGAAAGAGATTTCTTTTGGTTTCCAACGCGTCTCAGCGTTGCTTTGTTCGGCCAGTCTGTAAGTCTGCAAAGATGTCAAGCAGCAGCTGCCACCGGAGGTGAGAGCACCACTGCCTTGGCTGTTGGTGTTTGAACTTTGAGGATGAGGCGAGAAAGGTTTGTAAACACGATGACAACACGACGACCTGTACATAAAAGGAAAACACACCGGCCAAAATGTGAGAGTGAGTCAAGTGCAGTGTGATCGTGGTGGTGTTGGTGGTGGTCGTGATAGTGCTCTTCTGCGGTGTGGCAGAAGTAGCACACCAACTCGCACACACACCGACACACAACTTACCTGTCTGCAGCAGTAGTTCCTTGATCAAAAGTGCAGAAGTTAGGACGAGGTTAGCAGGAGGAGGAGGAGGAAAGGCGAGACAAAAGTTGAAAGTTGAGACGAAAGGATTTAAGAGGTAAAGTGAATGCGCTGTTGTGTATCAAAGAGTGAGATGAAATGAGGCGTCCGTCTGAAATATTTGCTGTAGTATTCAGTGGTAGTAGTAGTAGTAGTTGAAGTAGAAGTATCACAAGTGAAGATGAGTTGCAGAATTTCCAATGAAAGTTAGAGTTGCCAGTTGCCGGAGAAATGAGAAGTGGGTGAGTGAGTGATTCTTCCTCTAACCATGAAGCGGTCGATGATTTGGAAGGCAAAGGGAGAGAGAAAGAAGGAAGAACAGTTGCCCAAGTGGGAATCGGAGCTGTTGTTGATGTTGTTTCTGCTGCTGCTGCAATTCGGCAACCCACCAAAACCCAACCACACACACCCTCTTCGTCGTCGGTCTTGTTGTCGGCTAGTTAACTGGCTCCTTTGCCAACACACACTCACACTCACACTCTGCTGACTGCTGCAATCGGCGTGGCCGTCTCCACATCAACGCAGCGGCTGCACTGCTGGCGGCGGCGGCTGCTGCGACGGCGACGGCAGCGGCGGCGGCATCGACTGTGGCCTCCGGTGCTGATGGGCGTTGGAGGGGGTGATGATGGCAGATGGTCCGGTGGTGGTACTGGTGCTGGTGGTGGAAGATCGATTCGCCGACGTCTGGTGACCCTTTGAAAGGCACAGACTCTGAGGCAGAGAGAGCAACACCGAAAACAGCAGAGAGACAAACAACTCTCTCTGGCTCTCGCCTTTTCTTTCCTACACAACTCGATTGAATAAGTCGCCGCAGCCACAAAAGAAACGAATCCGGATCTCTCTTTCTCTCTCGCTGCCTTTCTCTCAGCCGCTAGCTTGGCCAGGCCACGGTGGGGCTGGTGATTTAGTGGACGCCGCCGTTGCTGCCGCTGCGACGGCTGCTGTTGCCACTAGCAACACATGCGCCGTCAGAGCTGACACCCCAACTTTTTTTTCCGAGTTGGAGTTTTGGGCACACATGTTGGGCAAGAGGTAAGATAAATACATACAGAGTCTTCTAAGACGCAAGATGTGTGTGTGACTGGTTGAGGGGATTAGTTGCAAACAGCTGTCAGAGGGGGGCCGGAAGTGCAACAGTACAGCACACAATAGTAGTGCACTACTTTCCCCGCTGAAGGAGACCGCTAACAAGATTACATTTACATTCGGCAGTTCTAAATTGGAACTTTTTGGTTAAAAAGTGATGCAACTCGAGTTCCAGAAAAGGAGGCTGAGCTGCTGAGATCAGTTGGTCAGCGGAGCTGCTCTACTCCTCAAGGACACCATCATCATCATCATCTACAGCTGTCAGTGGCTCTTCTCTCTCTCCCAATTAGCATGTCTATACGCCCGAAGCTGGGGAAGCTGTTGCATTGGGCAGTGTACGCGTGCCTCTCCATCTGGTAGTGCTACACTCTTCTGTTCTCTGTCCAATACAAATGCGCATACTTTTGGGTGTGAATTGGCGCGTACTGTCCGAGTGCTGTCAGACTGTTCCAAACACAGGCGCAGTGAGTAGACAGGCGCAGGTATGGCGCCCAGAGGAGGAGGAGGAAAGGCAGCGGCACAGCCAACCAAGCAGCCATTCACGGGGTGTCAATCAATGGCTGGCACTGCACTGTCCACAGGCAAGTGCTGCTGCTTCTATTGTACTTTTTTCAGTGGTGCCCATTCCTGTTAACTCAATGGGTTGATTGCTGATGATGATGGCGGTGGTGGTCGTGAGTCAGTGATGGTGTCAGCACAGGAGGACAGTGCGAGTCAACACTGGCGGCGAACTGCTGCCGCTGCTGCTGCTGGTCGTCGTTGATGGCCTTAGTCACCGTTCACTTGCTTCATTCTCGAGCTTCCACCACCCCACTCTTCTACTCACACTGTTTGCTCTGCACGAACAAGTCTCGTACGCATTCAAACGAAACGCAAAAGTCTCCCTGAGATGAACGGAGGAGTACGTTCACGGTGTGACTGTGTGCAGTGGGAGCTACTCTGGATAATAATGGGAAGTGTCTATACTCTGAAGATCGCTCACATGTGTACTCGCCCGATGAGCGGGAGAGGGAGAGGGAGAGAGCATTTAGTGCACATAATTGGCCACCGATTGGAAGCATTGACGAGAGACGGGAGCAGGTGCTTCTGGCGGACTACTGCTGCTGCTGCTGCTTCTCCTGCTGCTGAATGACTGCCTCAAAGTAGCCTCAAAAGCCTCTTAACCAAAGGTGATGGGCTCTTCTTCACTTCTTCCTTCACTCCACTTTGAAACGGTCACTTTGAATGATTGCGGTAATCATTCTGCAACTACTAAGTAGGTTAGACAATGAGCGATTCGGATGCTGTTGCTGCTTCTGCTTCGGAGTGGAAGAGAACAATGCAATGGACACGAAATAGAACTACATAATTTCAATGTGCAAGAGAACTTTAATGCACAGTCAAGTGGAAAAACTGATCTGCTCTTTGAATGAAGAAGAAGAAGGGCGCAGATTAGTGGCTGCGATGATCTTGGCCTCAATTAAGTCTTACATTTCTTTCTCTCTCTTTTTTTCAAATTATCCAAAGGCATCTCACTTTCAGCTGAAAGCAGCACTTCCTGATGGGTAATCTCAGGCGTTTGATACCTCAAATTCAATCGCTCGAAAATTCGTCAACGAACGTCAAAGACCGGTTTGCCATCTAGTGGAAGGGAATGCAGGTAGTACTGTGCCCAGTGTGAACTGAACAACTGTGAAGACTGACTTCGACTGCCTGTACACTTGGATGCGGTGGTTTGCGATCGCCAGCGGCTAGCATCGTCCCCGTGAAGATGCGCTCGTAGCGCGTATCCTCACTGGCCAGCCAGTCCACCTTGCCGCCATTACCACCACCACCACCAGGCAGTGGACTGAGCGGGCAGGTGGTCGATGTGATCTCATCGGGGTTCCCCTCTTTGGTCACCCTTCAGATCACACACAGACACACATTGCTTTGTTTACCTTTTGCACGCCGCTCGTCTGCTTCATTTATTTATTTATGGATTCTTTCAATCAGGTCCATCTTTACTGACCCTGGTTAGGTAAGATTACACCAGCCAACAGACGACCCTCAGACTTTGCAATCTCAACATTTTTTATTTCTTTTTTTTAGCGGTACAATCACCACCGACACTTCAGCACTATCAGCAGCTGCGGCAAAAGTAGATTGGGGATACTTCGCTGAAAAAGGTACTTGTCACCCATCACATTAGACTATCAGTTCGGCATCATGACATACCAATTTCTCCTCTTCTTCTCTTCCTCCTCCTAGCACCGATTCGCACTCTACACCACAGTTCACGATGGCTGGCGGTGCGGTCTATTATTGTTGGTGTTGTCGTACTGGAATGAGCACCAGACATATGAGGACACCAATGAGATATGACTTTGCCATAAAATGCCTAATGAAAAATCGACTCTCTGGTTCGCCTTCATTCGGTGCTGCTGGCTCAACCAGTTCATCATCAGCTCCTCTCAGCGGGCTTCCTCCTCCACACCTCAGTTTTCTGCGAGCCTCATTACATGACCGATCAGCGGATAAATTGTGATCCTCACCAGCAGTTCAGCAGTCCAATGCCAATCACTTCTAACTGATCAACTGAGCGCCTTGCACGCCTCATTTCCAGGCCTCAATTTAACTCTGCGAAGCCTTCCACTCTGCCATCCACTCGCCACAACAATTCGCTCCACTTGTGATTTATAAAAAGCAAAAAAGTAACCAATCCAATCCAATCCGAAATACTCATCAATACATTCCCAATCCATCCCCCAATGGACGTTTCTCACTGTTGAAGTCACTTACCACCACTACTCCACTACGTACTTAGTCCTTCTCAACCAATTGTGATCAGCACCAGTTTTGCACTGCTCTATTTCGGTATGTTTTGTTATTTCCTGCTGCTTCATTCCGCTTTGACGCTCTTTACACGGACATTTATTTGCATGCACTGCGCGAACTTTAACCTTTTGACTGTGTATCCATTTATTTATATGCCATATTAGCAGTCACACTGAATATTGAGATACAGAGAGATTGCTTAGCGTTTCATGGCACATTTCACTTGCCAAACAGGGTGCGATGGTCTGTAAATCGGTTACTGTGTGCTTACTGTGCACCGCCTTCCATCCTTGCCTTCCATCTTCTGCTCATCAACTGCTGGTATCAATACTTTTAATTGAATTCGCAGCTGACAACAGTTCTTCCAATTAGCAGCCTCTTGCCTCTGTTTAACTTACAGTTTTCTCTCGTCTAGACAGCTTGACGCTGGCGGTTTATTACTGAGTGCCATACACTGCCTCTTCTTTCTCTTTTTGCAGCCTCTTCTGTTCGTTCAGCGGTTGTTTGCTTACCAAATAATTACTTCATTCGCTGTCCATTCATTCATTCATTCATTAAGTACTATGGGCTTACCATGAGCAAATATTGTCTGACTGGCGAGATACCACCAGATAGATATATCTCATTATTCACCTCACTTGAACGCTAATCGAGTTCGGTAGCCAGCCATTTTGTTACATTGTCTCTCTTTGGTGGTTGTCAACGTGAAGCATCTCTACTTGTTAAATTTTCACTTGCACTTCCCGGAATTCAGAGTGTGATCATGTTTGTGTCTCTTTGTTAATTAGCACGTCGACGATCGCTGTCATTGTGTAGGTGCGTTATCGTGCACTTGCAGTGTTTCCCCTCCTCAATTCAGGCGCTGCCAACCAATTTGCCAGTTTTTTTTATTGCGACAACATTCTCTATTTTCTACCCTATTCAGCAGTCACACACACATCAAACTCTCCTCTTGTGTGTATCACGCCCATGCAGAGCGGTCAAAAAAGGCAATTAAGAATATTGTGCACTTTCTTTGTTTTTTCTCAGTACCGACAGTACCGACCCTAATAGTAGTAGTACAGCAGTTGTTTGCAAGTTTGAAGTGCACTAATCGAATCATAAGAAATGCCACGCCACACTGACGCCATTACCTCTAATGACAATGTCTTTCAACTGCTGTGCTGAGTCTTTTAAGGCAGTAGTCTGTTTTTCACCGGCTTCCTGCACACTCTTTATTCGGTCACTCGTGTTGGACTACTACTGTTTGCCTCGGGCGCCTCACAGCACAGATACCTTTTGCAAATGATTTTCTGTGCTACCAAAAAAATCATTTCACAAATTGGAAAATACGTTTCATTAAGGAGGGGGTAGCCTCCTGTGTATGTTCAGCTAGAAACAGTGTAGTCATCTTCATCTTCCGCGAGGTCAGAGGGCTTCGATAAGATTGCCCAGACTTCCAGCACCACCACACTCACCAGCAGCAACAGTAGTCCAGCGCCTTACTTTATCTCTTATCTGCCTGTGTGTTTAATGTTTAGCTGAGCAGCCAGCCACCAAAACCTGCGCGCACTCTGTAAAACCCTGCGACAGTATAGCACCGTTGTCTCCAATGGAAACAATCAGCGAAATAAGGTTTGCTCAACTGTTGCAATTACAGTTGCACTTGCCCTGCCTGCTGTCTGTAATAATGGTGCCGAAGCCAGAGCCACAACCACTGCCGACCACCACCACCACTATTGATGATAATCTTTTACCGGTCCGCTTGCTGGTGAACTGCACACCGCTGCTGCTGCATGTTCATGCACACACTCTCACTGGCTGCCAGAGCGGTGGATCCAGAGGCGGAGATCTTCCGCCAATGGCCAGCAAAAGTTCATTGTTTTGTAGTCGGTCAGATTTTACTTTTTCCCTGCTGCTGCAGCCTACTTTGCAGCGGATACTAGAGCACAGGCACTGAACTTTTGCTGAACTGTTTATCATTAAGTAATGAAAATGTATATTCCTCGTAAAATGTGTTGCCATTTGGCGTCCGCTGCTGCTGCTGCTGTCAGCTGCCAAACTCTGCAGAGCATTGTCGTAGCTAACGCTCGACAAACTGCAGCAGCAGCACCTCACTAGCAGCACACACAGAGCCACCACCAGCACTGACTTTTATTGAATGCTGGTGCAGTGTGTGTCCCCCTATCAAATTGGAAACACTGTCGCCTCAACTACCACTAGAGCACCAGTGAATGCGAGCACTACCGCCACCACCACCAGCGCAACATAGTTTTGTCTCATCATCACTCGTCGCAGAACTGGCGGCAGCAGCAGGGGACAACCAAAACGGGAACCACACTCGCTCGTTGTCACTGCCTCTGCCCCTGTCGTACAGTGTGAGTGGTGGTGGTAGCGTACCGTTATGAGCTAATGTTGCTGATTACTTATGATTCCCTCTTTGTCCATCTCATCCATATTTCCATTTCCACATAGTCAACGTGTGTAGCCATCGGTGGTAGTGTGGCAGTTGTAGTTCGATTGCCAATTGTCGAACAAACTCATCATCGTCGTCGTCTGTCTGTAGTCGTAGTGGACACAGAAACTGTGTTTGTCAAGACAGATGTCATCTACGGTGACATTATAGCCAGCATCAGCATCAGCAGCATACTACGCTCAATCAGCATCCATTTACTCCCATCCAATCAATTGCCCGTGCTCAAGTGTGCACTGCTCTGTGTTCTGTTCTCTTCTGTTCTTTTCAGACTAACCACAAGTGCAACACCGGCTGCTGTTGGTGTTTGAAGCAACACGTGCTATTCACCCAACTGCCACTGTAGTACCGTACAGCTCCCAGTCAGAGTCAGTCATTGCTGTTCGAAATGATACTATTGCAGTAAACAGTATTGAGAGAGACACTTTCTCTCATTGGTTCAACGCTGAATCACACTACTGCTGCTCAAGTTTCTACTGCTGCCCGTGTTCAATCCATTTCATCTTCTCTCTTTCCTGTAGCGCCTTCCAGCTTCCCCCAATGTCTGGGAAGCACTACCACCCTTCGGTGGCGTACCAGCCCTTGGGCCACCCCGCCTCCAGTTCAGTGTCCTCGACGCGGGTCGTCGAGTCGCGCCTGTCGCGCAATTTTGTCCTTGCCCTGCTCATGGGCATGACCTTTGGCTTCAGCTTCGCCTACCTGCTCATCGCCGTCATCAACTGGGACAACTACAGTCTGTACTTTCAGGGGGTCAATCCGCTGCTGGACGACCATCACCACCACCACGACCATGACCTGGACCCGCACTCTCACGGCGCCCTCGACTTTGCCGTCGGCCCGAAAGGACAGGTGTCGCTGCACGACCACGATGAGGCATTCCACAAAGGTATGCTACCATTTTTTTTAATCATTTNCACCCCGCCTCCAGTTCAGTGTCCTCGACGCGGGTCGTCGAGTCGCGCCTGTCGCGCAATTTTGTCCTTGCCCTGCTCATGGGCATGACCTTTGGCTTCAGCTTCGCCTACCTGCTCATCGCCGTCATCAACTGGGACAACTACAGTCTGTACTTTCAGGGGGTCAATCCGCTGCTGGACGACCATCACCACCACCACGACCATGACCTGGACCCGCACTCTCACGGCGCCCTCGACTTTGCCGTCGGCCCGAAAGGACAGGTGTCGCTGCACGACCACGATGAGGCATTCCACAAAGGTATGCTACCATTTTTTTTATCATTTTCTCCTATTCTCTAACCCAAACCTTCTTATCCCTCCCACACACAGACGAAGACATCGTCGCCCGCGCCTACTACGAGAAGATCCGCATCCTCTGCTGGGTGATGACCAACCCAAAGTCACATNTTCTCCTATTCTCTAACCCAAACCTTCTTATCCCTCCCACACACAGACGAGGACATCGTCGCCCGCGCCTACTACGAGAAGATCCGCATCCTCTGCTGGGTGATGACCAACCCAAAGTCACACGAGAGCAAGGCCCGCCACGTGAAGGCCACCTGGGGCAAGCGGTGCAATGTGCTGGTCTTCATGAGCTCCCAGGCGGATCCCTCCCTGCCGGCCATCAAGCTGGACGTGGACGAGGGCCGCGACCACCTGTGGGCGAAAACGGTGGGCGGTTTCAACTACTCCTACCACCAGCACCTGCAGGACGCCGACTGGTTCATGAAGGCGGACGATGACACCTATGTGGTGCTGGAGAACCTCCGCTACTTTCTCTCCTCGCACAACGCCTCCACGCCCATTCACTTTGGCTGCAAATTTAAGCCGTACGTCAAACAGGGCTACATGAGCGGCGGCGCCGGATACGTGCTCAGTCGAGAGGCGCTGAAGCGATTCGTGGAGAAGGGCATCGCCCCCGGCCATCCGCAGCGCTGCCAGGACAAGAGCGACGGCGGCGCGGAGGACGTCGACATGGGCATGTGCCTGGAGGCGCTGGGGGTGGCCGCCGGTGACTCGCGCGACTCGCTCGGCCGGGGCCGATTCTTTCCCTTCGTTCCGGAGCACCACGTCGTGCCGGGGCACGTCGACAAGGACTTCTGGTACTGGAAGTACATCTACTACCCGTCGCAGGAGGTGAGATTTTGGGACATCAAATGTAAACTAAATCACATCATTTGATTAACACTTCCTTTTCCCATTCTCAGGGCCTCGGTTGCTGCAGTGACTCTGCCATCTCCTTCCACTACGTGTCCCCTTCGATGTTCTACGTGTTAGACTACCTAATCTACCACTTGCGACCGTACGGCATTGCCTCGTACCTGCGACCAGCCGACCAGAAGCTGCTCGAGTCGAGCAAAAACCCACAACAGCAGCTGCAGCCACTGAAGAGCAGACCTGTCAAATCAGTTGCGGCAGATGCTGCCGCTGCTGATGATGATCACCTAAATAATGGCAGTCAGAGCAAGGTCGTAAAGGAAGTCGCCGCTGCCGCCGCTGATTCCAACTCTCCACCTGACAGCTAAACCGACTACCGGCAACTCTACCCAGCACACCCACAATTGCAATCACCCTAGTTCATCCCACCACCACCACATCTCTCCCCACTTTGTGATCAGCACATCCTTTCTCTTTTGTTTTCCTCTTTCTCTCTCACACTCGTTTTATCCCTTCCAACTCTAATGCCAGTCTGTACACTCCATTGCCAGTGCCATTCCACGTATCACCCTCCAAGCACTACTACTACTACTACTGAGACACTGATACAGCCGTCGATTGGCAACCGATCTCTAGTCTTTTCGCAGAGCACTCCTTCCTTTCTTCTTTTTTTGTATATCAATCCCCTATTTATACACTTCCCTTGCTGTGGTGTAGAAGTTTGGCACAATCGCAACCTGTAAATGATTGCGCGATTGCCGCTAACTTTGAGTTTTATACAAAATAAAATTTTTATTTTTTATTATAAAACAAAAACAGTTCTACAAAGTGTGTTAGTAGTTTTAGTGGCTAAAAAGTTTAGTTTTTACTAAAGTAAAAGAAAAGTGAATTGCACTTACCGACTCAATAACTTCCTGTTCCACAACGCATACTTACCACCACCTTCAGTCTTCTCTCTAAGCAAGAGAAATCAGTTAAACGTACCCAGACCTTTCATTTACTTGAGCTGTTCCATCACCCACTGCCAGTGCTTTGTTTCTGCATGCAAGTTTGTATGTGTCTTACTGATTCTTACTCTTCAGTATTTGCGAAAGCGACTCCTCTGTTTGGGCTACCTTCCTTCAATGTAGGCGAAATATTCAGGTATTTGTGAGCGAAACACTTGCGACCGATTGGAGCGAACACCTGACTGACTGTTAGATACATTTTGTTTTTAGTTTTGCGCTGGACTTGCACTTCTCTCTTTTTTGCATGGACTTCAACGAAGTTTCATTCTTTTGAGAAATACTATGCGAAATATTCTGAAATGTGTGTTGCAAGCGCTCCTCTTCAGGAAGAAGGCAGTAGGAGGTACTACGAAGAAATTCATTCTCCTGGCGATAGAGTTCTTTTTAGTGTTCTTTCTAGAGTTCACTGGTGGTGAAAGCGAAATTCGCAACCCCCGTCATCTGCTTTGGACTTGTTTCAACAAAATTCACTTCACTTCAATTCATGCCACCACCTTGTTGCGTCTTCCCATCAGTTTCTGAGTCTGAGTGTGCCTTACTGAAAGTGTGCTTTTCTCAAAAGTGTTTAATTCACAAGCTTAGTTCATTTTCGTTTGATGCCTTTAGAAGAGAAAAAGAACAAAACAAATTGATGATCAATAATAACGAAATAAGGAGTACGAAGGGTGGGTGGCGATAGGCGCGCTAAGAGAGCTAGGAAGAGAGCGAGAAAATCACGTGAAAGGAAAAGAGAGAACGCGTTGACCAGTGTTTGGTTGTGGATCTGTTGAGGTTGAACGGACAAGATTGCTGCTAAGCTTGTCAGTTGTGTTGGTGGTTGCGGTATTGGCCTGTGTGTGTACTGACAAGTCTGTTTAAAAGCAATAAATGAGGTGTTAGCAGGTAAGGAAAGAAAAGTGATGGTGTACCGATGACAACATTTGAGTCGTAGATAGTGATAGGAAAAGAAGAGAATAAAGATACAATGATGAGGGGTAGAGGAAAGCAAAGATAAGTTTCCGAAAAGTATAGATCAGGTATAGACTGTTGCTTGAATAATTTTGGAGGTGGAGGTGATCAATATAGATAGTGCAAAGAGACTTACAGAGTTACTTGATAAAAGTGTGAATAGAAGTGTTCAGTAGTTAGAGGAAGTGAGAGCCAGACAGGTTAGGTTTGGGTAGAAGGTAGGTGGGTGGGGCAGGACTGTGTGTGTGTGTATTGGCTGTGAATAATTGTCAGTGATTTTAGAGAGTGGTCATCGAAAGTGGACACAGGAGACAGAACTGCAGGTTCAGAGAAGAACGGAACGCAAGTGTCATCACCTATAGAGTGAGTGAGTGTGTGTGTCTGTGTGTGGGTGGGTCAAGGGACACTGTGTCACTCACTTTTAATAGCGGTAATGGTGTCTGCTACCTATAAGAGGAGAAGAATAAGAGAATACGGAATGATGGTGAGTCGCAGAGTGATAGAGAGTGGGAGACATGAGAGAGATGCAGGTGTGAGTGAAAGAGAGATAGATCAAATGACAGCATTGCTTGATACTTGTGTGCTTGGGTGGCTAATTGACAGACAGAGACAGAGAACTGCTCAAACAATTTTTTAACTTTTTCTTGTTCTTGCCGAGCAGTTCTAATAAAAATGACCGTGTGTGTAGGTGTAGGTGTAGCTAGCTGTTCAGTAGGCATAATTACTGTAGCCACTGGGCTTTCGCACAGCATACTTACGAGGAGAGTGCGAGCGAGAGCGTGAACGAGAGTAGCGGCCCCCTCGTCGGCCTCCGCCATAGCCGTAGGGCGAGGGAGAGCGGCGTCGATCGTAGCCACCGCCTCCACCACCACGACCACCACCGTAGCCGCGGCCACCGCCGCGATCTCCGCCACCACCGCGGTCTCCACCGCCACTTCGGTAGCGAGGGCCACCTCCGCCGCTTCCGCCGCTCCTGCCAGACCTGAAACAAATAACAAAAAAGGGTAAATCAAGCGGTCAAACTAAAACAAGAGCCGAAAGCACTTACTGAGTGGGTTTGCCCATGTAGATGCCAGGAGTGGGCGTGTGAGCCCGCTGGGTGATCGAAAAGTCTACCCTGATCTTTCGACCACCAATGTCAATGCCGTTGCAACGCTCTTTTGCCTGAGAGAAAAAGTGTCAGTGGTCGAAAATGAAGTCAGGGGAAGTCCATTACCTCATTGGCGTCATTCTTGTCTTCAAAGTAAACGAAGGCGAATCCACGCGATCGGCCAGTTTGTGCGTCATAGACGATCTGAACGTCTTCAATCGGACCGTACTTGGAGAAGACCTCCTTCAAGTCGCGCTCTTGCGTGTAGATGGAGAGACCAAAGATGCCCAGGCATCGACCTTCCGGGGGGTTCTCGCGATTGCCAACGTGACGACGGCGAGAAGACATCGGCGAACGGGAGCGCTTAGATCGCTTCGAGTCGGGCGAGTGTCGAGAACTGCTGCCGCTGCAATAAATGGTAAAAGGGGGGTTTAGTGGTTTTCTTACACTTGGCACAGCGCCTAAACTTACTGCTTCTTCCTGGAGCCGGAACCGCTACGAGAGCGGCTTCGACGAGATGGTCGGGAGCTGTACCGACGCGAGTTGCTCCTACTCCTGCACATTGGTAAAATAGGTAGAGAGAAAAGTGGCAATAGCAAATGAGTACTCAATTACATAGGGAGAGAAAGATAAGGCGGTACAAACCTTGAACGGGAGCGGCCAGCCGGTCGTGGCGAGTGGCCATTCTCAGAGCCGTGGTTTGAGCCCTCGTGCTCCGAGTCCTGTCGCGAGTCCGATTGAGCGCTCTGGTGGTCTTCACCATCGGGCGAGCCATTGTTGTCCATCCTTTCGGGCGATTCCTAGACGAGGCAAACAAGACGGTTAGAGAAATAGAAATTAGAAACCAGACAGCAGCAGTAGACACTAGTCATGTCCACCACAGCTGCTGTTGACAGCACCTACCTCTCGGTCACTCATCTTGCCGGTATTGAATGAAAAGTGTGTTTGAAAGATCAAAAGCAACTGAAAAACAGGTAAACTGCAAAATAAATCTGGTGATGATGATGTTGCTGCCGCAGCTGCTGATCTGGCGAGTCAGAGGCGGTTGGAAGTGTGCTGGTGAGAGCGTCGACGCAACTCGCAGGCAAGTGAGGCAATACAGTGGAACTGGTGAGACACACCACTGGCGATGGGAGGCGAGGATGATGTTGTGAATTACCAGCGGCACCGAGGTAGTGGCTGCTGGCAGGAAGAACGCGGTGTGCGGCTTGGCTGACTCGGGCTGATTCTATCTGCGACAGAATCCGGTGAGCGCGAAGCGGTAGACACACAGAGAGCAAGAGCGAGTGTATTCCCTGCAGAGGAGAAGGCAGAAAATGAAAGTGGCGGTGGTGTGCTCGCCAAACGCAAAACGATCTCCCATGCATTGTCCTTTCAAACCGCAGGATGATTGCAGCGCCGCCACTGCTCACAGAGGGACCACCGGCCTTGAGCGGGAATTTGCTTCTCTCCAGTGGAAATAGTAGCGTTGATGGCGCCGCCGTGTAATTGAACGACGATGAGTTTACGCCGCCCCTGCGTGGAAGGCTGCCTTATCAGATTTGATAGATTTGATATGAGATGAGCATGCTCTATCTCCATTTATCTAAGGTTTTGCCAGCAGTCAGATGCCTGCAGCTAGGTTCAAAGTAAACATAGAAATGTCCTTTTCCTTTGCCTCTAAATTGTCACTCTTTTTCCTTGGTCTCCAAACTGCTAATCTTCCCCCTTTTAAAAGAATTTTATTTTAGAAAACTGCAATTAGCTTATGTGTAATATCTAAAACATATACAAAGTAATCGAGATTCACTGAACTTTTCAAACCTTGAACTTCACTTTCCGAAAGTAAAGAAAAAGTGGCAAATCTTAATGTATACGTACTTTATGATTGGCGTTCGCACGTGTCGGCCAATGTTTTGAAGTTTGACTCGTGGAAAGTATTTTGAATTTGAAGAATTCTAGAACCGATTCACCAACTTTCATCAACAGAACCGTCTTTTTAAAATGGCCGAATTTAAGACGATCGGCCTGGACAACTGGCTGTGTAAGCGTTTAGAAGTGCTCGGCATCACCAATCCGTCAAACATTCAGCGAGAGGCGATTCCAGTGATTCTCTCGGAGAAGAAGCAAAATGTATTCGCCTGTAGCCGAACTGGCAGCGGAAAGACGCTGGCATTTGTCCTCCCCATTATTCAGAAGATGGTCCGCGACCCGATTCCGTACTACGCCTGCATCCTTGCGCCCACCCGGGAGCTGGCCAAACAGATCTTCGACATGGTACAGCTGCTCACCGTGAACTCCTTTGCCGTCAAAAGCATGCTCATCATTGGCGGCCAGTCTCAGGAGCAGTCCAACAATAAGGGGCGAGGCTCGTCGCTAACCTGCCAAGAC